AAGGAGAGAGAAAGGAAGAAGGAAAGAAACAAAGAAAGGAAGAAAGAAAATGAAGGAAAGAAAGGAGGAAAACAGGACAGTAAGAAGTGCATTATAATGAGCAAGTTGTCATGTTAACATGTGCTTTACTTTTGAAAGACATTGAACTATTTCAATCAAAGTTGGAAATAATGATATATAAGCATCTCTGCATTGAAAGAACAAATATATTAATTTACACCTGAAATACATATATATGTCTGTTTTTTATGCATACATAGCATATACAGGTCTGTTTTTTATGCATGTTCATTGCGTGTGTGTGTAAGGGTGTGTGTTCTGTGAAGGACATGGGGAGTTCTACATTTCTGATTTGACTTCACCATATTCATAATCACAGCCACTAAAATAAGACCTTATAGATTTGATCATGAATGAATTTCCCTTATATGATTGCAAAAATAGCAGATCCAAATATAAACAAGTTTAGCTCCATCACTGCTTAAACCTACAATAATAATGGAAATATGTTTTCCAGAATATTGCTGCCTACTTTCTGTAATTTAGCTACCTGATTCCTGGTCTTCCAATTGAACTGTCAATATTTAAATTTGTGGCTGACATTCTGGTGTCTACTGCTATTTTTGTTTATTTTGGGATTTATGTCATTTATTATGTACAGATATTTCCATCAACTGTCAAGAAAACTTTCAGAAATTGTGAAACTTAGGATGTGTGTTCACCGCAATTTTGAGTTTTATTTTTAATGAAGAAAAATAACTTAAAAAATGAGAAAATAATTAGATATATGTCTCCACTTACAAAAATATTTTGGGTCTTTACCAAAGATAATTGATAATTACCAAATGAAAGAATGAGAAATCATTAATCACAGAGCACTATATGTTTCAGTTGTGAAAGAAATCTTCAGGTTACATGGAAAATGTCTTAATTTTAAATAACAAAACTGATCTTCTGAAGGAAGCAATTTTCAATGATTAGAAGATAGTTGTGCTACCTCCTAGTCTACAAGTCTTCATCCAAAGATAAAGGGAAGTTTCTAATGACCTTTGATAAGTGAAAAACGGTACAGAAAAGTAGGTATATAATTGCTTAAAAGTAGGTATATAATTGCTTAAGGAAAGCCTAAGTGAAGAAAAAAAGGAAAGAACACCTAAATGTTATGCTTTCTAGTTGTATCACCTGGAAGGTTGGGACTTTTTTTTTAAGAATAGGAAGGATTTTTTGAGAGTAAGAAAGCCTCTGTCTAAGATAGAGAGAAGGGGGGGGCAGACAGTGGGTTGCTTGCTGATCCAATTTTTTGAGTGTGTTTTATTGAGCAAAGGCACGAGGTGAAGTGAGTTTAAGGAGGGACAGAAGTATGAAAGAGTACAAGTGCAGTCTCTCAGGCAATATTGATTAAATGTGGATCATATTGCGAGGCAAGTCACCTAGCAAGCACACATGGGCCTGACAATGTCTTTCCTGGAAGGTTATGAAGTTTTTGGTCCCCCAATAAAGATGAGTCTGTTTTTAGAATAACCGATGCTCTTCATCCCTAGAGGAACTACATGGGTGTAGTTGTTCCTCTGTTCATCTTTTCTTCAAACCTGTTGTGACTGCTGACTCATGTTACTAGTGAAAGATTTTCCACAGTAGTTGTGAGATTGAAATGTTTATACCTAATTTCTTCATTTGAGCTATAAAAGGTGCATTCCTTATTACCATGCAGGAGCACACTTCAAAAGCATATGACAATAAGCACTTCACAAGAGCAACAGGAAATATAACTTACCTAAAACTTCACTGTAAAATTGATTCCATTTCTTTTCATTATATGTCTGAAACCAAAAGTCAAAATACAGCATGCACAGCATATTTTTTACCCTCTCCATGAAAGTCATCTGACCACTTAATCCAGACATAATAATAGGTACGTAAGAAGGAGGAAACAGAAGCCCTCCACTGTACTTTTCATAAGTATAGCCAGGGGAAAAGCGGAGAGTGTACACAAAAGGAATTTTCAGTAGCTCAGCTATCAGCTCACCACAGGGAAATTGGGCATCTGCAAGAAGGAGGTCAAACTTTGATTCTTGTAATTTTGTCAGAAGTTTCTTGTTCAAAACTGCATCTTTACAGTTTCTTTCACAAACATTACAAAAATCCCTGTAGATGTCTTGTAGTAGGGGAAAGTATTCCCAGTAGGTATCCTTTGGCACATCATATACCCAGTTATCAATCCAGTGTCTGAAAAATTTCTTCATTTCTTCTGGAGTGATAGACGAAGGAAAAGTTTCAAATCTTATGCCAGATGGATTATTGAGATCAATAAAAACAGAAGATGAAGGTCGGAGAACTGTCACCTCATGTCCCCTCTGTACAAGTTCAACCAGTATTACCTTTGTATTCATCCAGTGGTTGAATTCCATTTGCCACACCAGCACCTTCCCACAGCTCCCGGTGCTGAAGAAAGAACACAGCTGTAGCAGCAGCAGCAGAAGTGTTTTCATCATCCTAGACATCCTGGTAAAGCCAAGTGCTTCCATTCACAGTGTACTGCATGCTGTCATTACTCAGAACATTTACTTATATCCATGCAAAGGAAACCACAAAGTTAAACTGTAACTTTGGCCAATCAGTGCGTAAAAGGACAAATCAAAGTACATGAACAGTAAATGAAAAACTCAAAGTGTGTCATAATTTTATAAGCACTTTGAATATCTCTTTTTTGATTAAGGACTTTGATCTAGTGAAATGTAGAGTACTTGCCTTTGTGAGTCACCTCAATATAATCAATTAATATTCATGCCAAGAGAAGTAGAAATTGAGAAATGACTTTTTTCTACAGATTTTCAAACATTGACACAGACTTTGAGATAAGGTATACAGCTATAAGGAATTTCTTAGCTATTGTGATTCAATGAGTAGGTTCAATAAATTAATTTTGTAAAACTATTTATAAAATGCATCTGACCCACATACAGTTACCCAAATGAAAGTGTAAAATTTAGTGTTTTATAATACATGCACAGAAACGTGCACCCATCATGACAATTTTTCAATCACATTATTTTTCCAGTAAGAAATTCAAACCCTGAAGCAAGATGTCTCACTGTAGTTGTCTGCTGTACCATACTGTACAGCATATGATCGGGGCAGGAAGAAAAGCAGTTATTTCCATGCAGAGGTTGAGGCAGAATGACAGAGTGCTATTGTGACAGAGACTTTGAGGAACAATGAAATGACTTTAGCCATATAAACAAGGAAACTGAGCACATAGCATCTGCCCTCTCACATCTCCGAAAACAGTTGACTTGGTGGGAAAGAGTAAGCAGAGGTCTCAGGTGTTACATACTTGGAGAAGTCTGCATGTTCTCTAGGTTGTGAGCACTATCTGGGTAGCTGGGAGTTTAGCACACTGCTTCATTACCCTACAGAATGGGCTAAGCCAACAACTTGTCTCCTTGGCCAATGCCCTGATGATCAGCTCCACTTTGAGGCTGTGTTCAGATGGGGTGTTGTAAAATATTTGGGCACAGGGCCAATCTTGTCACAGGACGTGAGGCTGTTGAATCAATGAAGGGTTACTTATCTAAAACATAGTCATATACTGCTGGGGGCCACAAATTCACAATGGCTAGCTTTACATACTTCCCTAAGGGATGAACGGAGGTTTGAGATTTTTAGTATTACCCTTTTGAAATTTCCCATTGTCCCAGAGGGGTGGGCCATTCTCTCCCACCTACAAGACTAAGACCTGTAAGACTACAACTAAAACTAAAATTAACACTTTGATTGAGACTAAGCCTAAGTCTACAAAGCCTAAAGATTCTTCGGGGCAAGATCCTCGTTAGTTTTAGATCATCACTGCCCTCTAAGTCATCCAATAATCCCCTCCTTGATCAATAAATGCCCAGGTTCTGGCTGCCTCATGGCCTTTGTTCCCTGTCAATAACTGGCCATCCCAGGTCCTCTCTCTGTCATCATTTTGCCTTTCGTTCATTCTTGCTTGCTTGCTTGCTTTCTCTCTTTCTTCATTTTTATGCTGTGCACCATAATATCTGATGGGAGTTTGGGGCTCACTGCAGGAGTCTCCAATAATACAAAATGACAATCCCTATTTTAGAAAGTTCTTTAGAAATGTGTTGATTATCTGAACCTATCTGTAAGGTAGTAAATGATGACTTTTCTCATTTGGAAACTCACAGACATATACTGTTGGGAGAAAATGAGGTATAACTATGTCCTGTGGCACTGCAGGTTCTGTGTCTCCACAGCATATAAATGAGCACTGATATCCACTTTAAATATTTTAATAGAGACTGCTGTCAATCAGGTTTACCTTGCTCATGAGGAATAGAAAATATATTAGTGAAAACAAGAGATTTTTAAATTGTTCAGTATTACTGTAATCAGACTACATTGGCTATATCCCCCACTATACAAACCTTCCATGGAGAAAGAATGCAACTTGGAGTGACAATAGTTTGTAATATTGACCACAGTAGTTAACACGGTTGAATAAAAGATGGAAACAATTACTTGTAGACAAGCCTGCTTCAGTCTGAGAGACCCAGACTATCAATCACTCTGTGAGAGAACCTCAGGGAAACATAAGCAGCCTGAGATCTCTGTCCTTTATCTGTAAGTCAAGGACAAGAGAACAAAGATGTAGATTAAAAGTAGTGGAAACATACTGTATAGGAGCTTTTGCTATGGGACAGAGAAAAAAGCAAGATGATGCTCTACATGACATACACCCATCTAATAATCTAGGCAAGCTTATCAGAGGTCATGGAAACACAC